GAGGGGGACTCTCCCTCCAAACAATAACCACCTCCCCACCCACCTTCCTGTCCTCCACGCCAGAAGCCGCGTCGAGCAAGGTTAGCGTTCTCTCTTCGTACTGTATTTTGTTTCATATTTTTGCGGTTTTAAAAAAAAATACATATGGTTCAGAATGGATTAACCATAATTACACTGAACCTTATGGGGAAATTTGATTCGGGACCAAATTCGGAGGGGTCAGAACGGATTAACCGTATTTACATTGAACCTTATGGGAAAATTTGATTTGGGTCGCGACCAATTTGGGTCGCGACCAGAGTCGTGGAATGAATTAAGTTCGTGAACCGAGGTACCACTGTATCATATTGATAGAATAAAATTAAGAATGATTAGTGTAAAATTACAGAGTACAGGGATTAAAACCAGAGAGAGACCTATAAAATTACAATCGACAGTCTAATTGCTATAGGAAATTAAGGTAGATAACTATAGATAGATCCATAAGAAGTACTAGGATTTATAAGACACTACAAGAATGTAAAACTATGCTAACTTATCACTGGCCCCCCTGCAGGCATCTAAAGCTCTCTACTTTCTAATAATGCTTTAATTACAGTACTGCTTCTCATTTCAACCAAGCCATGAATTTATGCTGTGTTCATCTACAGTAGAAGATTCTTAAAACTAATTGAGTCTCCCCATACTTCCTCTAAGGGAATCTCCCTGTCAGTTTGGATAGAAATATCAGTCTTCCCGCCATATTTTGCTTGTATTTTTAAAGTCTAAAATGATCATTTTGTCCAAAGTCTGTTCAAATGTTTAAACACAAAACTTCACTCTTTCAAGAGTGAAGAGAAATTCAAGAGGAAAAATTATGATTGTAATAAGGCTCTTGGGCTGTCCACATGGATCTGTGATCACAATGGATTTTATAACTATTCAAAACTGCCTGAAATGTCAAGGATAACGTTATTGTGAAGCTCCTTTTTTCCCCATAAAATGAATTCACTGCCATTCAAAAGTCAAGGGATTTTTTTTTTTGAAACAATATCTTTTCTACACCTAATCAAAGAGCAGATAGAAAGTTCTTTCCTTTAGTTTAAAAGGAGCAGAAGTAGAAAAAACTGCTGTTTGTATGTTGGCACACAATGAATTGGTTTGGGACACATAATAAACCATAGTTCAGGGTAATGTTCAAACTATGTGTTATATTAGCATAGTCGTTTTCATCTTAGCATCATCTAACTATCCCTAATGCTTATTGTCAGCAGTTGAACCTCCTTTAGTCAGCCTCTGATTATTTCATTCCTCTGCCACAGATCCTCTTTCATTTAAAATCCCCATTATTTGAAACACTGCCTTTCAGATGCTATTGACCCTTAGCCTCTGGCAATGCAATCCATCTCTCCGTTTGGCAAATGCCAGTTTCAATAGCATTATTTTGGGGGACTTCCAGTATATTTTGAGACAGAAAATGACAATTGGGTGAACAATGAGACATATAAACCACCAAAACAAAGAAATGTTATTCTTCTCCCATTGAATACCACAATAATGTAATCCTTCTCAGTATCTTATTTTTCCCTTCTCCTAAATTCATACAAATTTCTTTATATTCAATGGAAAAAGGAATGCAATTCCTGCCAAGACTTCTTTCCTATCACCAGCTTTCATGCAGACAGTTTCATGGGAGAAACTTGGGGGCTCAATGAAGACAATCAAAAACTGTGCAAGATGGAATATGGCTGCTCGGCTTTTTACTGGGGTATTTAGGAAGAGGAGTAGTTCTAGATTTCTTTGGCAAATTGGATCAAAGGTATCACTGTTCCTTAGGAGGCAAATATTTTACTGCTTTTTTGAAGCAGGGCATACAAAACTCTCAGTGCGTAATAGCTCCACTCTCCTTAGGCCGCATAGATTCATGAAAAAAACTCTCCATTTAGGCCTCATAGATTCATGAAAAACTTCCTGTGGCTAAAAATGGCATTTTCTTTTCCATGGGAATTTTTAAAACTTTAACTCCATTTATTTTTTTGTCTTATGGGAGAAATCAAGTGTACATTTGACGGGTTTTCTAGCAAATGCAAACAAAATAAGATCTTTGTGATTCTATGAATTTCCTTTTGACAGAGTGAAGAAATAAAAAGTGTCTTACATTATGGAGTATGAACACACACACACACACACACACATCATGACATGTTTTCTCCTGGTATGTGCACAGAACGTGTAGCCCATCCCTTTATTGTTACATAAGATCAAAGGGTTCTAGCTTAGCTGTTCCATACTTGGTCAGCTGGATTCTGCCTTCTAGCCAGCAAGTGTATCAGCTTGCACTCTAGGTTTCCTGAGTTTTATATGGATGGCTTAGCTTTCATTTAATCTATTCTTACCACAAATATTTTAGTCATGCTATTATGGATTATGTTATTGCTTTGTTGTTAACCACCAAGAGCCCAATTTGATTGTATACTAGTACAAATTTAATAAGTAAAAACGTGTCTATCAACAGCCATAGTTACAGCTAGTAAACATGGCTTTTGTTTTGTGCCCACAATATCCAAGCTATCATTGTAAAAAAGTGAGGGAGGGACAAGAAAAATAAAAGGAAATATTCCAATACATTCCCACCTCCACTGATTAAATGGTACAAATTGGAATAATGTAAGAAACAGTTCCATTTATCTAAATATATCCTACCTGGGTTTCTAGTTCTGTAACTTCCAGATTCAGCTTATTGAGGTGCTTATTCACAAAAGTTATGAGAGTCTAGAAATTAAGAACATACATAGGTTTTAAAGTTTTTAAAAACAGAGTACTGTAAAACATCCAAATGCTAATGTGAGCTTTAAAGTAATTTAGCATTTAGTAAATCCACTTATTTGTTGGCTTTTGAGAAAGAGGGAAATACTATGAAACTTCATCACAAATACAAAATAAAGAATGACTACATACTGCTGTGAAATGTTTATCACTTTAAAAAAATATAAAGGTATTGCTGCAACAGGATAATGAACAACAGAGGAAAGACAATAAAACATGAGCCACAAAGTTAAGCTGTTGTAAAGTGGAATGCCACTGTTTTCTCTTCAAGGAAGCTGTGCTGATCTAGATCGACTGGAGATCATATAATAAAAATGTGTGAAATGGCAATTTCAGCACTTTACTCCTTCTCTATACCACTTCTCACAAGAAACAATGTCGAGGAAAGCATTTGCATTTATATTGATACATTTATTTTACGTAGAGAAAAAACTGATAAAATATCTCAGATTCCAGTAAGGTGCTCTTTGATGTGGTTGTTTTTCATACAGTATCTCCAGTGCAGAATCAGAGGGACCAATAGGAAGTCAGAAAGCAGAGAGAGAACTGAAGTACTAATACAATAATGTGGTTTCCAAGGGGAGATTGAAAAAGTGGTGCCAAGTCTTTTTTTAAGCTCTTTAGCCTCAACCAAAGTCCTAGGTGCCAGATTGCTTATCTCACACTGGCATTGCTGAATGGCAGATCCATGTATAATCTGACCATGTCTCCTCCATGTGGAAGAGAAGGCAGTCCTGGAATATATTGCTGAGACCGAGTTGGGCACAGATGGGAGGAGTCCTTGTCTAAGATGTGCCTGACTGGATTTTGGATACTCAACCAGCCTCAATTCTAAAGCTTAGGTGTAAGGGTGGGAAAGATCCTCCAAAATTCAGTAGTGACCAGGTGCTGTGTTGCACAGATAATTGGATGAGAGGCCATGTCTGTGAGGCTGAGCACCAGGGATAAGTTGTACTGCCTGTTCTGCTCCCTAGCACCTTCCCTAACCCAAGCTGTTTGACATCATTGCTGACTCATGGTAGAGTTGCCTTGGTGTTTGCTGCTGTGGGATTTCAATCTCCATGCCTTGAAGGTGTGTTTGGGATTTCATGGCCTCTGTGAAATATGGGCTTATTGCAAATCATCATGGGCCTAATGCATACCAGAGGCCATCCACTGGATCTAGCCTTTACTTCAGAGAAGTTGGAATGTGATCTGAAAATAGAAGATCTTACTCTCAATCCTTTGTCACAGTCAAATCACTTCCTGGCTGATGAGGCTAGTTGGCACCACCAATCTCCATGGATTAAGATGGTCAGCCCCAGGTACCATATGGATATTACTGGAGCTCCAGTAGTTGCTTGGGGATTTTCCCAACAGTCTGATGGGCAGTTCAGCTGGGTGCTTAGTCAATCAACCTCTGCACTATGTAGATATTATTTCAATTAATTTGAAAGAATTTTATGTGGATCCAGAGGAGCTGTTTGGTTAATCATGGAATATGATGAAATATTGTCTAGTGATCCATGCAAAAGACAAGGAGTGAATACACGGTGCATCCAGGTTCAGCTCTATGCTGTAGCAGTGAGGTTGGAGAAGTGTCAATACTTTCCACCCTTAATACACCTGTGGGTTGCTATCTAGCAGTCTCATTTCAAATTACCCGCTCCTTTTTGGAGAGTGCTTGATCAGAAAAGCTTCTTACTTTTTTTGCAAGGCATTTTGCAGCCCAAATAATTTGGAGTTAGATGCCACCTGGGCAGAATCCAGTGAGATGACAGAGGCAGTATCTTGTGAACGTATCTGTGATTCACTTGAACTGTGAGTACTAAAGAAGTGGACAGGGTTCTTGGTGACAGAGCTCCACCACTTGTGGACTTGACCCCTGACTCACCTAGCTAGTGCAAACTGCTACAGAGCAGACAGGGGACTGGGTTCAAGGTATTGTGAAGACTTCTTTGAGAGAGGGGTGTCGTCATGCACCTTGAAATATATGGTGGTGTACTGTTCCTCGAGGCCATCCTTTGACCCAGTCATTCTTGAAACTACTGTCCTGTCTTTAACTTTCCCTTTTTGAGAAGGTAGTGGAGGGACAATTACAGAAAGCCCTGAATGAAACAGATTATCAGGATCCCTTACAATCTGTGTTAAGGCCTAGGCATAAGATGGAAATTGTAGTGGTTTCTCTTGTGGATAACCTGTGATGAAATATGGATGGGGTAAATGCACTCCTTATTATCTCAATCTGATCTTGACTAGTGCTATTAATAGCTCTGATAGGGAGTTGAATTATTTTCTATTGATATATCTATTAGTCATGGATTTATTTACAGCTTCCTCATTTTTAGCACAACCTTCCAACTGCCATTGTACTCTCCAGCTTTCTTCAGCCCCAGCTAATATGGCGAATGGGCAAAGATGGTGAGAATTTAGTTCCAAACTTCTTGATAGCTATAAATTCCCACCTTTCCCCTAAAAGTCCTAACTGGCAATATGACCTGGTTGTGAGCTCAGAATTCACAACACAAACAACGGAAAATACTTCTCTAGATACCACCAAGTTTTAACTTGGTACCATTCTTGTATTGTATCATAACATCCATTATTTCCAACCATCTTTATAGGGTTGGTGGAAAAGAGGAAGACACCAAGAAGATTGGCAGCTATTTTGTCATTGCACAGAACAGGAATAGGGCAAGCTGGTGGACTTCAAATATTATCTTCCTTGGGTTTTGGAGTCATTGCTTACAAGGCGTTCATTTACCTATCCTGATACAGAACTTAATATGTAATATGTATGAAATATAGAAGGAAATGTGAGGCATCTGCCAATTGCTTTTTACAAGTAACAGAGATACCCCAACTGTTCTCCAACTAGACAGGCTTCTTGGAACTTGTGGGGAACAATTGGAGAATTTCTGTTAGGAATCAAGATAGGGAGGAAAAATGCAAACCATCCAGAATACACAACCTTGATCTGTATCTAGATGATACACTGAATGTATTCTTACTAGGCAATTAAAAGCATACAGCAAGTGAGTCTACAAATATTAACGTGTAGAATGTCTTGGCAACATCAAACTTTAGTTTTAGTTAAATACAGTGAGTTTCTAAGTTGGTTAAATAGCACGTATCAAAACCATTTTTGACCCACCTTTTTCACAACATTGAGTTTGTCTGGAGCGTGGTCAAACAGTGTGTCAAATGCATCTCGTTCTGAAATACAGTGAATGAGAGCAACCTGTTAAATGCTACATTATTGAAGCATAAGAATTCCAGAACCAGAAGGTCATAAATTGTCATCTACACTTAGTAAGAAATATTTGGTCTACCCAAATCATCCTTGATCTTTATTTACCAAATGCAGATTCAAGTCAATCTATTTTGAAATCTATTGTTCTCCAGCCATGCAGATTAGAAAGTATAATGAAGTATTGATTTGAGAAATATAATTATTTCTTAATTATTAAGAAAGTATTCTTCTTTGGAAGAAATATATATTTACAGATCAACTTGGAAAATTCAGAATGTGAACTTAGTTGACTTTGAATTATATAACATTACTAATTAGAGAATAATTTACTAACATCTAGAAAATGTTAGAAAACAATTTATACTTACCATGCCGTCCTGACATTGCCCTGTAGAAAAGAAATAAGGCAATTATTTGTATGTGTACTATTAGAGTAATTTAATACATTTTGTTCAATGCAGAAATATGCAAAGCAAGATAAATATGCACCTGACTAATTACATATAAAGCAGAAAAGATTGACTCTGAAAATTCCATTTTGTCCTGGAATGTTCTATCTTCCCTAATCCCATGGAATGATCCAAGTGCTATGGGGGAGGGGGGATTCATGAATTTCTGGAAGAACGTAATTCAGATTAGCATATTGTCCAGAAAAAATGGAATATTCCACTGCCAAATTGTTCCATTTTGTACATTTCTACACCCGGTTATAATGTCAAAGAAAGAACACTCCAGACTTTTTTTAAGATGATGATGATGATGATGATGATGATGATGATGAAGATGATAGTGGACAGCAATATCTGGAGACAGCAGAATAGAAGAGAAAGAACTGGAAAAAAAATCACAAAATATAAAGACCTGAAAATAGAAGTAGAACAACTTTGGCAATAGAAAGCAAAGATAGTACCAATAGTTATAGGCACCTTGGGTGCAATCCCAAAACATCTGGAGTATCACTTAAACACCATTGGCATTGACAAAATCACCATCAGTGATTGAAAAAGACAGCTTTACTTGGGATAGCTTACATCCTGCAACAATACTTTTAATATTCTCAAACAACAATATCTGCCTATCCCAGGTCCTTGGAGGATAGGTGGACAAAAATGCCAAATCCAGCCTAAACATCTGGCTGACTATGCAACCAACAATAATTTATTAAATTTGTATGCTATCCGACTCCCAGTGACTCTGGGCAGTTTATAAATTGTTAAAAACACTTCAAAACAAGGAACAATACAAAAACACAAAAATAACACAAAACAAAAGAGTAGAGGTGGCAGAAAAACCAAACCCTGATGGGAACAATGAAAAAAAGGGCACCAATCATCATCGCCAAAGACCTGGGTGAAAAGCTATGTCTTCAGGTCCTTTGAAATACCAGTAGGGTGGAGGCCATTTAAATCTCAGGGAGAACCTCATTCCACACGGCAGGTGCTACAGAGAAGGCATGCTTCCAGGGTTCCAATAGGTGGCATCATTTTATCACTGGAATCCAGAGTGCACCAACCCTGCCAGGTTGAATTGGCTGGGCAGATACTATGGGAAACAGGCAGTCCTTCAAGTAACCAGGACCTATGCCATGCAGGGCTTTATAGGTAGCAACCAGCACCCTGAATCAAACTTCAGGGGGAGATGGGCGGAGATAAATCTAATAAATAAGTTAATAATAAACTGGCAACCAGCGCAGCTTGCAAAGCAGACATGCCTGTGCCACTGCATTCTGCACCAGCTGGAGCTTCCGGGTGGTCTTGCATGTTCTCCGTTGATTTTGGTTAAACTGCATGCTGCTGCAAATTGTTATTTATTTGTTTATTTATCATATTTATATCCCATACAGTCTAGTTCAAACTAGCCTGCAGCAACTAGCAATGTAAATCCTACATCATAAGCAGAATCCTAAAGAACACTATATCATCTATTAATAACAGCAATAAACCAGCATCAAAAATACTCTGCTGCAATTATACAATCCCCCGGCAAACTTAAAAACATTCTTAGAGGAAAATGCTTGAATTTAGAAATAAGTGTTTAAGTTATTTTTAAGACAAGTCAGGGAGGGAGCTGTCTGAATGACCAAGGAGAAGGAGGTCCATAAATCTGGCGCCACCAACTGAGAAGCCCTTACAGTAATTGCTTCCAATTGGACCTCTCTCTAAGTTGGCACTCATAAAAACTCCTTAGAAGACAAGGCTCCCAGTTCACAACATACATGAGAAACCACCTATTGTACTGGGAATTCCTCCCAGTAATCTACAGAAAGTTAACGTATTTCCTTGTTCCTTTACCAGAACAAGTGTGACATGCTCCTCTCACAAAAGACCCTGACGGTTCTGTGTTTGTGTTTATTTATTTAATAATAAATAAATTTTACAAGCTGTAAAAACATCATAAACAATAAAATCAAAGCTCTGATAAATCACCCCAATGATAAATAATTCAGAAACAGTCCAAAAGCAGGCGTGAAGCCCCAGATGTTTACTATTTCAGGGACAGGCAATCTTTTTCATATAAGGAGTTATATCTGGAATTCTGAAAGCATGTTGTGATGTCATGGAAAGAAACTTGATTATGCACAAAATGGACGCTGTGGAGATATCCACAAAAGTACGTTTTGTGGATATCTGCCACAAAACATAATTTAACAAGAGGCAAACTGGTGAGGTTATTCCCTACCAACTTCTCTAGTTACATAAAATGCTGCCAGTGACCCCAGCTTACACTGGGGGTGGGGGGCCAGGTGACAATATATATATATTTTTAAAAGCCCTGGACCGCAGCCACTCATCACTTTTAATTGTTAAAAATGGTTGTGAGCTAGATAGTCTTGTAAATAAAGCTGATAGTAGAAGGAGATACTTTGCTTTACAGCATTCCACTAAATTACTTTTCGATTCTAAGAAACTTAAGCAGGGCAGGGACTTAGCCAGCTGTCCATGGATATATTATAGGTCAGCTCTACATGTATGTAGACCAGATGAGGAAACTGACTCTACAGGAAGACCAGAATGATATTTTATTGAGTAACAAAATCTTGAAAGCCTGCCTGTGTTTTCCCTTCCCTCCCTCTTATACCCCAGAGAGTCCAAGTCTCTTTCTAATACTTTTTCTCTTCCCTGGGCTTAACACATACTTCTGCACCCGTTGTCGTCTTAATGGCTTCCAGATGGCTTTCCCCAGGTCATATCCGTGGGTCCCTATGTAATGATAGCAGGTACCAAGTTCACTATTTCTGTTCTATTTAAGCTTTTAAATGAAGATTTAGTCTTTGTTTTCTAGGGATAAAAATGTGGAAGGAAAGATATCAAAATTGTTTCCATTTCTACATACCTTCTCCAGCTGAAACTTATTAAAATCTGAGTTTGGAAAATAATATCCCAATGTACGTATGTATTTATGTGTGCATGTGTGAAATAAAGGACTACTTTTTGTTAAGAAATTACTTTAATTTAGAGCTTCCTACATTGGGAACATTTCTACATCTTTACAGTATTTGTACTCTTTATTATTTGGAGTGGAGCCTGTTTGAAATTTCCAGTAGTAGAACCCCTACAAGGAAGATTTAGTAAGGATTTGGCAAATGGCTTAACCTTGACTTACTCTGTATTGCCAGTTATTTCCTCTTGGATCTGTCGGGACTGGAGGATTCCTTCTCGCTTCTGGAAAAACAATAACAATAATTTATTTGTTAGTCATGTAGCAGCTCTTCCAAGTTTTAAATGGGCTTTTCTGATTTCACAGGAAGTGTTTTGATCTTGTTTGAAACATTCTGAATTCAAAATATTTTGCACATCTCCAACAGGCAAAGTTCTGAAAACTTGTACAGTGTTCATTTGCACAAGGAAGGTGATTCTTTCCTTGTGGAAATGGATGGACTACAGAATCATAATCCATGTTTTTGTTAGGACCATGATGATACCACCTTCAGCTCCCCAGGCTATATGACTACATCACTTCTGTGATTAACTATCAAACTAGAGCCCAAATTCCTGTGAAGTGTTCTTACTCAATGTCAAAGGCAGAGTTGACCCGCCTAAAAAAATTTATCAATGGGAACTTACACTACTCTGTTCCCCTACCTGTGCATCCTTGTTTTGTCAAGAAGCTTGGTGAATAGTTCAATCAGTCTTTCAAAGATTTACGAATTATGTTTTCCATGATTTTCTGAACAAGTTCTTGACAGTGTATTTAAATGAATTGCTGATTAACTCTGAAGAGTCTGCTGCTCAAGATAAGTTTAAGCAATTCTTTAATACCTTTGTGACTACAATCTTTATGCTGAGTTAGACAAATGTGGCCATACTTGCCTATAATAGATTATTTGGACTACCATATTAGCCATAAAATATGCTATATTTAATTTGTGAGATTATATCTTCTCTAATTTCTTTCTTTCTTTACACTTTTATTAACCATTAATTTTAAGATGACAATCTTCCTATATTTAACCCTGATCCATACCTAGGAGGGCAGCTGTATAGAAATGTTTACAAGTTAATAGTAAGCATTCTTTTTGGTTGTATATTCGTTATTGTTAAGTACCATTCTAGGGAAAGGGCAATCATTTTTAACTGGAAACAGAAGGCAGCAGAAGAGCCAAGATAAAAGATGGGCTGAGAAGAGACTAAACGGAGACTTAGAATTTTAAACTCATGAAATTAGGGATGGACAACAATTTTGCCCTGGTCACTTTTCTATATATGCATTCCTAACTCCTTCTTTCCCATTTCCACATTAATGAACACTTTTTTAATTAAACATTTTCACATAAACATTCACATTTAAATACATGATGTAGTTTTAATTTTTTCTTAAAAACTGGAATTTCTAACAAGCTTTCTGCCAAAATAAGCATTTCCAAATACATTTCAAAATAAGAATTGGAAATTCGTATGAAAATAGGAATACTTAACTGCATTTTGATTTAGTTTTGAATTAAGAACAACCAACTCCAACAGATAGACACATTCTATTCCACATTTTATTCTGGAAGGTACAGTTCAGATCTTGTGGAAATATATAAGAAGCTTCACATATTCCTACACCAGTGCTTCCCAACCATGGCAGATGTGTGGATTTCAGTTCACAGGATTCCCTGGCCAGCATGGTCACTGCTGAGAATTCTGGGAACTGCAATCCACAACCCTAAAAGCTGCCAAGATTGGAAAATTCTGCCCTACACTAATAAGGTCTCCAATGGTGAAAAGGGAGATTCTCTAGAAGCAAAAATTCAGAGGAAAAGCCAGCCAAACATCTAAATAAGAATTTCTAAGTCTGACTGAACTAGTTTCAACACATATGCAGGTTCCAAAAAGAAACAGTTGAAAGCCAAGGAACTACAACGGCTGAACAAGGCAGCCCAAGGGATGTGTATTCTAAGTCAGCTATAAAATTGAATGGGTTACCTTCGGCAATTCATAACCTCTTTGTTTAGACTATATTACCAGGTTGCTTCAAAAAATGAGAGAAGAGACCATGTTGAGAAGCAAAAGCAGAGAGAAACAGAGCTCACTCCACAGCTGAACAGTCAAGATTTATTCTATTTCTAAATATGTCTGTATATATTGAATGCATTTATTTTCAGTGCAGAAAATACATATTTAGATCACCATTGCTCTAATTAAAATTCATGCCTATAGTCATGCTTTGAAGAACAATGAAATATTGGGGAGATTTCCCCCCTCCCCCTGAATATCAGGCAAGGAGGCATTGTATTTTATTTGACAAGAAAGCGTATGATATGGGGGATTATTCATGCATAGCCAAATCAGGATCCTGACAGCAGGCAAGGATCTCTTCCCATCACCGGGGTTCTCTCTGGAATTCACCTTTTACTGCAATGTGGCTTTGAAATTGTCTTCTGCCTTTTATGGAGAGAGGGATTTCAAAGTTGGGTGAATATTCAGTGCAGCACTAAGATAATAATGGAAGCTGATTCTATTACTCCTGGTGTTATTGTACAAATATGGCAAATTATCCTACTTATCTGGTAATGCATTCTCATATTTGTTAACTCTTAACTACAAGAATCGAAATCTCCCTTCCCATCTGAAGTGATACCTGAATAAAACACAAATAACCAATTTCAAGCAGGTATTGTTGTCCAAACTGCTACAAGCCATAATCTTAGTTTTCTGTGGTTATTTTTACGAAATATAACTTTGTACTGCCTATTATTTTAAGAGGACAGAAAATAGCTGGATTTAGGAATATTTATTACAGAGTCTAGTTCAGAGTTTTCACACGCTTTTTCCAAACAAAAATCTGAAGAACTGACAAAACCAAGTTCAGTAAAAATAATAATACTTTTAAAAAGTGAACTTGAAATTGTAAGGCAGGTCATATGACTGGCAGACATTCACAAGCCGATAGAAAAGTCTACATTATCTACCAGGCTGATCATATAGTATCAAAAGAGGCATTTATTAAACTGGTGTTCAGTGAGCAAATACAAATATTTGAAGTAGAAAGTAGAGCCATGCAAATCCTTTGAAAGAAATGCTTTGAACCCATGGGAGCATGTACAAAGCATCTCTTCAAATTGTGAAAGCAGCCACCTCTGTTCCCTGGCTTTACAAGCTGCTTCCGGCTCTCTCCACATGCGTATGCACAAGTTGCCGCTTTGTTTCACATGTTCCTCAGCAAAGCAAAATGCATGCGCATGCGTGCAGAGAGAGCCGGGAACAGCTTCTGAAGCAGCCACGTAAGCCTGGAAATTGGCAGGGCTGATTCTTTCATGATTTGAAAAGAAGTGTTGTGTGCATATTCCGAAGCACTTCTTTCATAAGATTTGTGCAGTCCCAGTAGAAGGGGGCAACATGAAAGAAGACAGCCAGAAAGGTGAAAAACATTAACTTTAGGCCTTTGCATGACAACTACAAAGTTACGCTTTGCCAACATCCAATTTAACCTTTATTATATTAATGTTACAGTTCCACTGCTATGCAATCAGTAATGACAATAATGCACTCAGCTCTAGAAAAGAAGAAAGGAAATGTGCCTTTTTCTTACACTCTCTCTAGTTTAAAAAATTGTACAGAAATGCTGAATACATTCATTCATACCTGGACAACCACAACTTGAATAGACACATGATCTGGCAGCCTGATTGGGGCCCGAAAGTACTGTGATAATGCAACCAAAAGATGCAGTATTGCAACCAGACTTTTAGCATGGACAGCTGAAAGAGATTAAAAACTTAAAGTTACGCAAGAGAAACTGAAATATTTACTTTCACAAGCAGTATCAGTATGTAGGATATTTTATCCTTTGACACTTTCGCCCACTAGAGATTGGTCAAAGGGTATTTTCCTCTGTTTCTCTTTCCTGACATAAATCAACGGGTCTTATGAAAACAACTAAATCAACATTATTCCTTGGGTTAGGTGTTGCATGCTTCATGCGATTCAAAAGGATTAGGCAGTTGTATTAAGTGCTATCTACAGACACCTCTGTGGCATTCCTTTATCCTCACTATTCCAGTGTTGATTTATGAACTAGGGGAAGGATTTTTTTTTTAATTCATAACATGCACTTAATTCAGTTTTAAGTATCATAATGTCTGCAGGAAGATGAATGAGCCTATTTAGCCCGTACCCTTGAGCAATAACTTACTAAACAGAATGATTCAAACATTCCTCATGAACTTGTTAAGAGGTCTTGTTATTATAGCTTATTCACAGCAGGATTTGTATATGTACTTAACACTAACAAGGCTGCAAGGTACCAAAAGACTTATTATAGGAAACTTCTAATCTGCAACCATCAAAAGAAATAATTTGTAACTATATTCTAGCAGCAGCAGCAGCAGCAGAATTATTATTCCCTTTACTTGGGGTATCCATGAATGCCAAGGTACCATTCTAAAATATTTGATGTTAAGTATGCTACATTTTTCAATTTTAGATGACTCACATATTACTGAAAAACAGTGCAGTAGTACCAATGAGCTATTCAACTGCATTATTTGTCTATGTTTATGTCAAAGGTCTTCTGCAAAACTATGAAATACATTCCAAACAATAAATTTTTCAGGCTTCTTACAGGACAAACTTTATGCTTAAACAAAAATAGCCTAATGTATATACTTTTCCAGCCAGCAAAATTAGATGCTTTATGTGCACACTGGAAATGAACAGGGCCTCAACAATGTTTAAGATAAAGCATGGAGTACTGCCTCATATCCTTGATTTGGATGAAGGAATTATAGCGTTAGATACCCTTTTAGCCAAGAAGCCCTTTGGGAAAGTCATTTTTTTTTCAACCTAACTCTGCTTACTGCGAATTGGAAGAAATAAAAAGGAGCATCTCTTGGACACGGATCTAAACTCTTTGCAGAAACTAAGGGGAAAAATGTATTATAGGACTAGCTCCAAAATTTGGGAGAAAGTTCTCCCAATTCCCAGGGTAAGAGACAATAGGAAAAAAATAACCACATTACATAGACTTGAATAATATGTAACACATTCCTTTTTATTTTCCTGTGAACCCCTTTGGATTTTCTTGTACATAGAAGTAGGATATAAACTATGTTTTTCACACTTACAGTTCTACAAAGATCCGTAGCAAATTATATCAGAAATAAGAAGAAAAAAGAACTCTCCAGTTTTGAAGAAAATATTCCCTGCCACATGTAACATTGCATGTACAATTGGAATTTAAACTTATCAGCCTCTTAATTGCCAATTGTTTGCCAACAATTACAAGCTTCTTTCTTTCTCTCTTTCAGTGTGTATGTGTCTGTTTGTGTGTAAATACATATATAATACTCAAACATACACAAACACATACTTCCATACACATACCCCTTCTAAATTGGCTTCTGGTTAGAAAACGGTTCTAGCTTTTTTCTAATTTAATAAATTTAATACAATTTTAATGTAATCTGTACATGCAAATTCCACTGTAAATCAGTAACTCACAGTCCACATTCCATTTGATGCTCCTTGGAGGAAGTTTAAGGGTTTCATTGATCTTTTCAAGTACTGTCTGTAGCTTCTGCTTCTGAGCTATTTCAGACTGTGTGACTTCAGCCACATTGAGTTTCTCACTCTCAAGCTTCTCTGAAGTGATAATGGAAGAAAAAACAAGTCTATGCCTCAACTCCATGTACCAGGCTCAACATGAAGACATTCTGTTCCACTATTCCAAAATGGATTTTTTATAGATAACCTAATTTAAAATTTCAAAAGTAACCACTGACAATCCACCAAGCAAATCTAAGTAAGGAAAATCTTTCTTTCTATTACAGATTTCAATGCTTTTAATAAAGCACAGTGATGTCAATCCACTTTACATTTATTTCTTCTTAATAATATATCTGGCAGTATTGACTAATGAGTGCCACATACAACACCATCTAGATTATTTCACTAATGTTAATTATATTGTTTCCTTCAAAATGGCTTCTAAATCTGGATGTCATCACTAAATATGGTAGCACTACAGAATGACAAATTTCAGAACATCACTGAATTTTTGAAGTGTCCAACTTCAGAAAGATGCCAATTTTAAGATGCCTAGTACATATAATTAAAAATATGATACAAACATAAAGGAAGTGGTTGTTAGATGTTTAGACGACCATTCATTGGCTAAAATCTTTGAAAAGCAGGAATAAGCTTTTCTTACAAAACAAAAGGAGCCTATCTTCTTTCATCTCTTGGTTTTTTTTATAAAGCCATTCTATAGAAAAGCAAAATATCATCACTCTAGGCATAAAAATTACATTACTTCTTACCAAAGAGTTTTTGCAGTACTTGTCCATCATACATGTCTTCAGCCAGATCTTTTACAATTATTCTTTCTCCTACTAACACATCATTAATCCAGTCTATTAATACCTGTGTAAGAGATCAAGATTTAGCAACGCCATGCGTGCATAATCACAAATGTACATTATACTGGAAACAGTAGTAAAAACTAAACATAATTCACCAAAGATGCAGTGTGTCAAGAGTTAATAACAAGAATTAAAACATTTATACTGAAACATTAGTATGTATGACTAATGTATGTTATATTGTGGCAAATGCATTAAGCTATACCATTTTTTACAAAAGTCTACCCATTCCTCAGCTCCACAAATACTGAAGTTACCTTATAGTAACATCTTATTTTTCTAAACAATTATAAGTAGACATTACAGCTACTTAACTTCTTATTACTGCTGGATGAGAAGTTACTGGATGAGGCTTAAAATATAATTACTGCAATCCAGTAGTTAAATTCAATGGTATTTAAGCATGAGGTAAAAGGTAAAGACACCCTTGAGTCAAGTTCAGCTCCTAGTAACCACATGGACACAGTTATGAAATTTTCTTGGCAATAGTATGGAAGGGACAAACTACATCAATTTTTTTCAGTTCCCCAATCTATACTGAAGACCTAACACACATGACATAATAACTGAATTTTTTAAGAATGTTCTTCACATTCCAATATTTGCTCTCTCAGCAAATGTCACTTAAATTCTATTTTTTAGCTTCTTTTGTTCATAGAAAAACAAGTTGGACACAAACCTCTAAATTTTCAAGGAAACACACTTTCCACTATTAAAAATGTATTGCATATGAAAGCTTTGAATACCAGAAAAAACTCTTTTCCATTTTATGCAAAGTGGACTTGGAAGTGACTTGGAAATAATCTTAATCTTAGTAGCAAGAGCTTTTGGAGAATAGTTTGACTTAATTCTTAATCATACTATCAGAAAAATATTAATTGCATAGGATTATAAAGAGCCATCACTTCTGATTTCAGCACTGTTGGGATTTTAGCTGATCTTTCTTTTTTATCTACAAAAGTCACCAATACTGGATTCAGACAAAATGTAAATAGTCCATAGATTTTATTAAATTCCTATCAAACTTTCACCACACCAAGAAAAACCATTGTGCATTGACAAATTGCTACTACTAATACTGTTCATCACACAAGTTAGAGCTTAGAAATTATGGCAAAAACTCCCTTTGGTCAACTAAATTAAATCTTATTTCAATTCATAAAATGGGCACTCCTGTGCCCGTTAATTGAAGAGAAGAATTATTTTCAGAGATTCCAACTGCCTTTTGTAATCCTCCAAAATCTGTTCTAGAGAATTCAAGATTCCCAGAAGCACATGGTAGTAGTGCAGAGAGGAGAAGAAATTGGCAAAAATTGTTCCTCCACCTTCTTTCAGTGAGTTAAAAGAAATGAAATCATCTTCCATTCACAGAAGATTATTTTTTTCAATTTCAGTTTATACTGTGGCATTCCCATTAAATTAAAGAAATACCCTTTGTTGTCTTAAAGACTTCAAATATGTCTGGTTTTAAATATGCTGGTATTCAAACCTGGAAAAAAATCCTCATCGCTGAGGAAATGGAACTGAAATACTCTCTTTTCTCTCCACATGGTAAAGAATATTAATCTCACAAGCTTTTGGTGCCTATGATTAAGCTTCAAAAAATGCAGATTGTTGATCGTCAGTCACTGAGTGTATTTTTGGTTCTGCTGTAAATATGAATTACTCAATTTTTGTTCAGATATCATCTGTTGTTGTATATATGATTATTTCTTTATTTATATCTTAGAAAGCTTAGCAGAGTTAAATGGCAAGATTAAAAA